GAAAGAAAGAAAGAAAGAAAGAAAGAAAGAAAGAAAGAAAGAAAGAAAGAAAGAAAGAAAGAAAGAAAGAAAGAAAGAAAGAAAGAAATGGATGGGGGCCTGGGGAGGAAGTCTCTACACTTGGGGAGGGAGACCATGAATGAGCATTGAGGAGACTACAGGAGAAGGCAGCAAGCCAGGCAAAGAGCAATGCTGTAACACACACATTTCCCCCAGCCCCGGAAGGACCCGTTATGTAAAAATCCAGCCCACTGATTACAGGTTTGAAAAGACAACATGGGTCCCCCTGCAATCAAACTACACTTGGGGAGGGAGAGCACAAGCGAGCCAGAGTCCTTCCCTCCAGCCTTGCCTTTGCACATATCAAAGCCCTGCACAGCACCAGGAGGATGAAGTTTGAATTCCTCCCCCTCCCTCCGACCCGCACGTACTTTTTCCAGCTGCTTCAGAGAGGGCTTCAACACTGCTCTTGCCTCGGGTCCTCTGAAGAAGCCCCAACCTCGCTTCCTTCTCTTTGAGAAGCACCTTGCAAATGGGCTGCAGGGCAGGGAAGCCCTGCATGGGAAGCATGGCCATGCCTCCGTGGAACAGGTATGCAAAAGTATGGCAAATTTCTGGAACCGGTACGCCCAAAGAGGTGCAAACTGGCAGGAACCTACCTCTGTCTCCATCTTAAATGAACTCATTTAACTGTGGTTTCTGAGTATAACAAATTTCTGCTTCTTTCATGCATATCAGCTTATTTTAACCTAGACCAAGAGGCTGTCAAAAATCATCTTTTTATTTAGCAAATGGATAGGCAAAATTCTTGGTGCTCTCCGAACTTGGTTGTTTGCAGAAGTTTCATTACCCAACTAGATATTATCAGTGCAAGTGAGCGTTCTTATTTTACCTAGGTGAGTTAAAATGGCTGCAACCACAACAAAGTTCAAAGAGCACCAAAAACTTCACAGTTGAACCATGAGCTACAGATATTCTCTTCTACTGAGGACCATGACTGTGTGAAACATATTTTAGGATGAAATGTTGCCAAGTCCTCTCCTAATATTTTAGTCTTCCCCTACCCAGTGCTCTCTAGATCCAATTAGGCAATATAATCAGCGCTAGTCGTGGGGTTTTGGAAATATGGCCAAATTAAAAAGGACACTACACAAATTTCTCCCAAGATAGATCTGTATTGTTCCCATAGTTTACACTGAATTTATCATGCAGCTTATACTGTATGTATCGTAAATAAAATTTCTGCTGAAGGAGTGAATATTAGTATTAGATACTGTCTAGATCATAACTTGTCAAAAAAGTAACAGCAAAGTCATGTTCACAGGTTTAGGGTTATGATAGATTTTCAACTATTACTTTTCTGCTTGAAAAATATTCCTCCAAATTCCCAATTAAGGGATGTTCCTCCCTGCAGAGTTAGTGTCATCTACCCTTTCACTTAACAAAAATATATGCTAGCATGAAATTTGTTGATACTGTTGCCAATCCGTATTGTCTACTTTGACTTATTTCTGAATGGTGCTGTTCCCAATTTTGAATGTGTTAGCATGCGGTAGGCAAAGCAATTGCTTGAGTTCCCTGGCGTTGCTGTTTTCCCTCTCTGAATCACCAGATCACAAGAAAAATGTCCACTGATCAAGTGCTAGAGGAGGAACAATTCTGACTCATCTAAGCTTCTGCCCTCACCTCTGCTCCTAAACCCTCTTTATTCATAACTTAACTCTTGCAGACTTACTTTACAAATGAAACAAGCAATGTTTTCACTAAGATTTCTCTTTCTGTAGGCAACAAATGCCAACTTCCAGATTGCTCAATATTCTATTCCAGCCCTGCCCTAACTTAGCAGGATTTAGAGGATTTCTAGCAAAGTACTTAGCTACTGCTATTGCAGTTTTAATAGACAACTGGCATAGTACTGTTGAGGCCAGCTTTTTTAAGGCAGTAGAGTGGCAGCAAGCAAGGTTGTCATGACCCATTGGGGAGGGGGGTGTTTACCTTGGCCTGGAACAGATGGTATCAACACCCTGATTCCACCCATCAGTAGTCCCTCAGCTACATCTGTGAGATGGGTAGCAAAACAATAGATTTTATGCACCTGGCAGCTCTTATATTTTATCAGCTAACTGCACCCCCAGCCTTAGTCTGGGTTAGTTTGGGTGAACAGGAAAAAGGAAGTGAAAGTCTATTTGTCTTGGATGTGTGTGTTTACATTATCTTTTCTATTCCCTGCACTCAGAAGATGTAAATAAAAATCATGCAACCTCAAAATAATTCCAAACCAAGTGTTTCTTTTTTAAAACCCCAATGCAACTGTTACTACTAGGGGGTGCCCTAAGAGCCACCAATAAAAAGATAAAAACAATAACCCCCCCCCCCCCCAACTTTTAATACTGGAAGTATTAACAATGGTTTAAACCTATTTCACTCATGGGATAGGAATAAAATGAAGGTACAGTATGCACATACAGAAAGAGTAGTGTTTGTATTATGTTAGGTTCATACCTTGGGGAAAAAATGGTCAGATTCAACAGCTTCTTCTGATAGGGGAGGATAGTATATTGACTTCACTTCAGACTCAGGACAATTTTTACTGTATGTTGTAAATGTTTTATAAATACTAATGTATAAATGCTTTATAAAATACTATGAATTTTAGAAAAATAAATGTTATGAGTTTTTAGAATTTCATTTACCATTAGCAGTATTTTAAAAATGGTTTAAAGCCAGCATAAAATTAGGGGCAATTAATGCCATTATTAAATAGATAGACATCATTATCAAATACATGGTGAAACAGGTTAGTAATACAACACAGTTGCATAGCTATTTTTTAACAAGCAATATTTTTAAAATGTGCATAATCATTGCTACAGAACAATTACATTAAAAGCCTCTTAAGGTTTTTTTGCAAAATTTATTTATTGATTTCATTTGTTTTATTTCTGTAATCATAAAAAGAAATAAGTAGTATTAATTTTTAAAAGTATTTCAATCCATATCATATAACTGAGAATAGTTTCACATTTTTTTTAAAAAAGATGATGAACATCTAGACATAACACAACTACATCAACACAATCAAAATGGCTAGTTTGTGAAATCATTTGGCTGGACATAACCATTTGAAATAACTAAGCATATATGCCAATATCTAGTTGCTCAAACTAATCATTTTTCAGTCAAGTGGGGTTTTTTAAAGTATCCCAGCCTGTTTTAATGAGCTTCTGTATCACCTGAATAGATGCAATTAATATTGGCACTAATTCCCTACATTTGCAAAGGCTGAGTATCATTAGGGTCTTTGGTAGTTTTGTGCTTTCTGTCAACATTCAGAATCAAAACTGTGTCTCAAGGATACAAATAACTACTTCTAGGCCAATATACAGATAAACTGTTTTGTTTTTTAATGAGAATAATTTATTCTGACAATCTTTCACTCTCTAAGCCACAAACATGATGCTGGATTATAAATTTAAAGAGATGATTACAAAAAAATGGTTTGGCTTAAATTAATTTTGGGTTTTTTTGGCAATTATTTGTTTGGATCTAAGGAACAAATCAATTAACCCTGTCATACGCAATCTTCACATAGAGTCAAGAATTGGAAAGATTTTAATGTTCCTGGTTTTATGAAGTAAAATCAATTCTGTAATACTTTCTGCTGCATTCAAAGCTACCACTTTGAAATCTGTTAATAAAAATTGCCTTGCTAAATGGCAGAACTTTCCCCTAGCTCTTAGTATTGACAGATATGTCTCTTAAAAGTGATTAGCTGTTATGGCTAGACTACTAAATAAATAACATTCAGTATCAATGCTACCATGATTTTTAGATGTACAAATAAGAAAGTATATACTGAACACAAAAACTATTCATTGTTTTTATGCAATATTGTTTCTCCGCGTAGTACTGTTTCAACAGAATGGTAAGCAAAAGTATTATTTTATACACAAAGTAGTAATAATAAGGTTTTGAGACATGCTGTTTTCAAAACTGAGCCACAGTTCTGTGTCCACATTTTTCTAGAACTGATCACAATTTTTATATTCCCTTACAGCTGACTTCAGACATGTTCTGCATTGAGAATTCAAAAGCCTGGCTTATTAATTCTATAATTACATAAGATTGTAATTTTCTTCAGTTAAAGCAATGGGGGGAGGGGGAGAGAGGATTGTATTGTATCATTGTCTGTTCTTTATTCTTTATTTGTGAAAGTACCCCAGGGATTGTACAACTCTTTGGAAGCAAAGTGCACTCCATACAAAAAGCTGAATTGAATTTATGTCTATTATTTAATCAAAGAATGTCTAAATCGACCATACGTTTTAACTGATTACAGTGTCAATCCTACAGGCAATTGACTTAAGCAGCTCCTCTGAATTCACTAAAGTTTGCTCCCACTCCCAGGTGAATATTGATTGCAGTTTGAATATACATGGATTCACATGTGAATTAAAACAGGCAAAATCATTTTGATTAAACTAATCAAACATTTTAGGTATGCTTCACAGTTTAGCACCTGACAAAATATTTGTAGATATTGTAGAATAGATATACATTCATAACATCTCAGTGCTTGTCTCTCCAGCGAAATTATGGCACTAAAATATAGTGTATAATGAATTGAAGCTATAAACTGATAATCTAATTAAATCATACTTATCCCTGTACTGGATGGGCAATAAACAGCCCTAGGCCTTCAAGTGAACTCTTTTCGTGACTTTTAGTTTTTTCTTCTCATGGCTTCTGAAGACCAATGACAATTTCCCACCATTTTGAGTTCAGAAATACATTAAAAAGTTCTAAAATATGTATATAACAACAAAACACTTCCCAGAAATCCAACCTTACCTCTACATATGACTTTACAGACATCAACATTAAGTGCAACATCAGCTACCAATTGTTATTTTGCACTTTAGTGCTATACTTTGGCTCAGTGGTGGGTTCCGGCAGAGACTACTCATGGGCGTGGCGTGCACACGCGCATGCACAGTGCAATAAAAATGCTTCTGCACATGCGCAGAAGTCAAAAACAAGATGGCGGCGCCTACAGCATTGCCGGAACAACAGCGGGACTGTGGCAAAGCTGGCCACTAAGCTACTACTGGTTCAGATGAACTGGTAAGAACCAACCACTGATTTGGCTCCTCTGATGATGTTCAGCAAATCAATACAAAGTAAGTACGGTAGATACAAAACATTCCATACATTAAGTGTTCTCTTTTGGGTGGCCCACATCCAGACCTGGAACATGCATGTTCCAGCAGAAATGTTTCAGATACGGATAACAGGAAAATGCTAAGGACATCAGCAAGGCAGGGAGGTAGGAAAATCGGTGGCATCAATTTAGGGGAGATAATCAAAGGGAGATCCTATGAAAAACTAGGATAGATATGTCACCCTTGAAAAAGAAATCAGTGGCTACTAAGGGGAAGTAGGAAAAGAAATACCCTAAGAAAATCAGCAGGCAGGCTAATTTACAGCCTTTGTAGAGAAAGAGAAAAATATACCTGGGCAAAGTGTTTGAGATTGTAAGACCTTTCCAGAATTGTTTCAGTACAAACCCAGAATAATCAAAATGTTCCAGGTTTCAATTCCCACCAAACTGTAATCTATGCAGAACTGTTTATCAGAACATGTAAAATACAATGTGTTTATTTCAATTAGAAATTCACTTTCCCTTTTCCTTATGTTCTTACTAGAAATGCACAATGATGAATTTTGTAGAAAAAAGTAAATACAGTAAGATTGCAATCCTATACCTAGTTTCAAGTCTCAATGATTTTGAATACGGTTCAAATAACCACGTGTGTATTAAAAGAACAGCAATAATAGAATTCCCATAATGACTATTCTTAAACTCAAGTAGATCTGATTTAAAAAGAGAGTGCCTTTCTGTCCCCTCTACAGGGTTCTTTCTCCACATTGTAGTCTGTGATCTTCATCACTATTGATTGATGAGCGAATAAAACCTTTTAGAACTGTGGTGTTAAATATATCTGTATTCCATAGTCTTTCCAATAAATTTGTGGTTTGGAAAGATGACTATTGCTTCAGGATGATTACACTGCATTTATCAAATGTTGTGATAACCTGTACTTCTGGCTGCTGCTTCCCATTCCACTGTGAAAAACGTAATTGTTCCAAAAAATCCAACAACTGCCATTATTAAAAGTTGCCACTGAAGAAACAAATAGTTGCTGTAGAAGAAAGCAACAGCTGCACAGACAGACTGAAAAGAAAAAAAAAACATGTTGTAAGTGCAATCTTAATGACAAGCCAACTGAGTTATAGACATTGATTTTTAATGCCATCTCACCTCCACTTTTAATTACTGGAACATAAACTTTCCTATTCATGTTTCTTTATAGAAGCAAATACACTTATTCCAAACTAGACATGTCTAATATACAGATTACTTTTTGTAAGTGTGTTGTTTGTGTATACAAAATCCAGCACAGTATTTTAAATTGTAGGTTGAATGGCCTAGCATTATTGATATACATGAATTTTGCATTTCATTTAAATATCATATAATGTATTAATGGATTATGTCTAATTTGGAGTAAATGAGATCAGTGATGCAAAAATACCAAAATATCTTTTCTATATAAGCATACCACCTTGAACTCCAGGGTAATTTTGATGGAGGAAAGGCAGACTACATATTGAACAACGAACAAAAAGATACTATTGTGAATGCATTCTTTGCTACTATAACCCAACTGTTACTTTATAATTTTTACTTGATAATATCACAGGAACTTTCCTCAGAAATTAATTCTACTCTCGCTTTTTCTTAGCACAAAGGGCAAAGTTTCCTTTAAGCCATGCTCAATTTCTAATGGCTAAATAGATAAGATCCATAAAATTCTTTGGCAACTGTACAGCAATATAGTATGCTATTACTTCCAGAATGTGGTAATCGTGGGTGGGTGTTAGCCCAGTCTATATGGATTTCTGATAATTTATTGCCAAATATTATCATGCCTAATTGTACTTAGTAAGCAAGTGAGACAAGGTTGGCTAAGTGCTATGACCTGCTGATACATTTTCCCCAATGAAACTGGAAGTTATTTTGGGCTTAGTAGTATCAGGCTAGAGACTGGGAAGCCATGAGTTCTAGTCTCACTTTAGGTACAAAGCCTGTTGGGTGACCTTGGACCAATTATTCTTTCTCAGCCCTACGAAGAAGGAAAATCACTTCCCAAAAATCTTCAACTCCATGGATTACAATTGTCCTTGACTCACAACCACAATTGGGAGTAGAATTTCCATTGCTAAGGTTGTTAAGGGAGTCATGTCCCAATTTTGTGTAATAATGTAT